AACCATGAGAATTTTATCCTTTGATGTGTGATAGCGCTGCATATTTTACGACTGGTGTGCTGTATTTTAATGAGCATTTCAGGTGATCGTTGGAACAAAACTTGTCAGAGGCACTTGAGACATAAATTTCTTCTTAGTATAAACTGCTTCCTGTCACCCCGCGGACTACACGCTCTCTGTCTCTCTTTTGTTACTATTTTTTTAAATGTTTTTCATTGTTAGTATTTCAATAAATCGATTTGAATGTGACCAGACTAGCGTCGACTACAAACTAACACGTTCTTTAGTGAATCGTGCCATTAGACAACGAGTAGTACTTCCTTTTCAGCGCGCGCCGGACTTCGCCGGAAAGGAGGGACTGCTCGTAATCTATCGTGCAATAAGTAAACCCTCGAGAATATAAACTGCACTTTAAATTCTCTTGGAGAACCACATTCCTAATGTTAAAACATATCCATAACTATTGAGGTAATTGTCCTGTTACACCAAATTTTCACGACGATTTCCTTTGCCTTTATTTATACTTCTCAAAAAAAAAAGAGCAAAATAAAGACGTTCTTGACTGACTCTCAGCCCGGGTATGTTCTTAGAATACTATTAAAATATTGGTTAATGTCAGGCTGAATGCTCTTATAAAAAAGTCCACTTACCCTAACCCCAACCCTAAGAAATTACTACACCTTAGCCCTAACCCTAAATCCTATAAAGTACCCTTCTTGTCCACAGCACAATACAAAATGTTATTCGGTATACCAAACCTATACAAAAATTCAAATTGTGACATCCTATTTCAATTAAAATATCATAATGTCAAATTTCGATACTGCACTCGGGCTTGTTACTTTGTTGCTTGAAAATTCAAGTTAGTTCCATTTTAGTTTCTTTACTTGTCATTCATTTAATCAATGCTACTGTTTAGGCGTAATTCGCTTCCAAATTACAATTTACTCTCCTAGATCCAAATACATTTACTCATTATCATTGATAATATTATAATTATCTATGATCATAGCAATTATCATCATTACTGGCATTATTATTAATGTTATTATTATCATTTTTAATATCATTATCTTAGGGTGATTCCTCAGTTTTGCACCACGCACCTTCTATTGTGCATAAAAATCAAGTAATCAGAGAAATGAGCACGCGCGCATTCCGAGAACACAGTTTTGCTTTTTCAATCAACGGACCAGAGGTAGAAATAACATGTGACGATCGCAACCATGTCAATTTTATCCTATTAAGTGTGGTCTCGCTGAGTATTTTTACAACTGAAGTGCAAAATCTTAAGGAGCATTTCAAATGATCGTAGGAGCAAAACTTGTCAGAGGCACTACTTATACAATCTCTTTTGGCATAGCCTGTTTCCTGCCTCCTTGCGGACTGCACTCTTTTTTCTTTCTTTTTTTTTTTCATACAATCTCCTTATTATGGGGGCCGAGGCCGAAAGATCTCAAATTTTTTTTTCAGATTTGAGCCTGAAAACGTTCTTAACACGTTCTTAAAGCTGTGTGGTATAGTATAAAAAAAAAGTGAGAAAATAATTAACAGGTTAGCGCGCCGCGGGGAGCGCCTCACTCCTAGACCTTCCTGCAGCGTCTTAAAATCAAATTTTACATTTGTTTTACCTTTAAAAATACTTCTCAAAAAATAAAATTAAGAAAAATAAGGACGTTGTCGACTGACTCTCAGCCTGGGTATGTTCTCAGTATGTTCTCAAAAAATTGGTTTATTTCAGCCTGTACGCTCTTATTAAAAAAGGTTCTTATAAAAAAAAAGTGGTTATTGTAATGAGGTACCCCCGTGTCCACTACAAAACACAGTGTTATTCGGTACACCAAATCTAAACATAAAAATATAAAATGATATCCTATTTTGATAAAACAATTACATAAATAGTATAATCTCAAATTTCGAAATCGAAATTCTTACTTTAAATTCTTCGTTTAAGGAAGCAGAATTGTAACTGTTTGAAAATTAAAGTTAGTTCTATTTTCGTTTCCGTACTTTTCAGTCAATCAATGCTAATGTTTACGCGTAATTCACAATGTACCCTCCTTGATCCAAAAAAAATTTACCCTTTATTATTGACACTTTTATAAGCGCTTTGATTATAACAATTATTATCATTGTCAACATTATTATTATCATTATTATTATTATTACTATTATTATCATTATCATCATCATCATCATCATCATCATTTTAAATGACGTGAACAATTTATTATGTAAAAGGTGGGATGTTTTACTGCATACCATTCACAATGTGGATCATCTTCTTAATAAGAGCTTTACATTGTGTGGACCAACTGTATTTCTCGTCGTAGGAGCTACGTAGGTCTTTAGCCTCCAAAAGTCAGGTCTTTCTTTTTTTCCTCCAGACGTTCTTGATCGCTTCTGCCCATACCTTGGAATCTTCGGAATCAATGACGCAAGAGGCACCAAATGGTACTTCACTTAGGGCTTCACCAAATCCAGCATGCCAAAGGCAGGCAATAGAAAAAAGAAAGAGTACCATTCCGTCAAGAAAAAAATAATCCTTTGGGAAAGCGACTGGTGCTGGTGGAGCTCCACGCTGGCGTAAGAAGTCGCCATTATTACGTAATAACATCAACTTTTAATGACTTTGATGGGTTTTCGAGTGAGAATTATTCTTTCTGGTAAAACGCTTCGAGTTATCCCTCTCGCACTGAATTTCCATTCTAAGTAAACAAGCTTTTGGACAGCCCTCGATTCCTTACCACCTTGATTTTAAGGCTTGCTACTGAGATTCAAATTATTTGGAAGAATTAAGTCAAAATTGAAGAAGAAAGTAAGTTTTAATTCAAATCATCTTTTTATGTTGTATTGTTTAATTGCCCGAAATGCAATTCGTTCCCCTTATTCCCTACGATAATCGACAATGTACTTTCCCCGGCAAATAGGGTGCTACCAATTAAAATCTCGAGCTACGAAGAAACGTTTGAAAAAAATCAAATTTCTATGACTGATTAATAGAATAGAGAAAACAAAATAGATAAGCACACGGAAAGTAGCCGCGCCAGCCGCAAATGATTTCTTGCTGGCGTCAAACTCTTCAATAATTTGGTTCAATCATCTGCGATGGTAATGTAAATTGGCCATCGTAGAGGGAGGTAGACGAGAGGCTAACACTCAAAATGTCATTTTTAGATTTACGATTGCCAATTCACGTTATCAAACACAGTTAATAAATCTTGTAAATACCCCCCACCGACGCAACACCAGGTTTTTTTTTTAAAACTTACCCCGCTTTTCTTACAAAGCCATGGCAACTGTCAAAACTTCCACGAGCCTTAAAAATGCTAATTTACTGCATTGCTCGAGTCTCATTGATAACCATGTGGTTCCGCCTCTGATTTCGTGAATCTTTGTATTCAATTTTTGATTTGCTAATCATTCTCACTTGGTGAATGAAACTTTACAGAGTATCCTTAACCTTATAAAGCTTACTTTCTTCTTCTTCTTCACTCAACTTTACTGCATACCTCGATCTCGATAATTTTGATCAATACGCAAGAGTTAGGGTCAACTTGTGGATTATCGCAGACGAAATTTGCGATATTGTATCCGCCTATTTACTATCTTTCGGGTATCTCACCAAAATTACGTTTTGAAGGTAAATCCCATCATTTTCTTTTGTCATGGTACAAGTTGTAAGTTTATAAAGTTCCGAAATGACTTGTATTTGTGTAAGCATCAAGTGATCATCCATTGCAACAATTAAGTTATCACGCTCGTAAAGTTCTTGCCATGTGAGAAGTCAAGCTTGATTTCCAGAGAGATGAAGTGAAATATTCGTTACTTCCGATAACATTACTTGCAGAAACGGATAAGCAGCAGTACTGAATGAATAAAACTTACAAGAGTTTTATCTTTTACACAAAAACATGATGCACTTATGATGAAATTTAATTCTTTGTACGGTGTAAACTGATCGCGCTTGCTAAACTAAGAACAAACTTTACGATACTTGTCTCGCGAACAACCTGATTAAACTTCACCCTTACGCAATTTTGATGATTTCCAATAATACAAGCAGCTTAATGAAAATACAATCCCAACACATGAATAACTGTCTGCCAAAACTGCAAAGTTCGAAAATCAGTTTGTTGATGCATCACCCGCGCACTTGCTAACCGATCCTTATTTGAAGACTTAACTTTGTACTAACTGCAGCTGTGAGATCGGCTAAATCACATTTAAAGGAGATCTGTTAGGTTATCTTCATAATATTTTGGTATAATTATAAAGTGAACTCACGCACGTAGAGAACGATGTCTATCAATGTCGATCCACCAGAAGTTGCGATATCAACAGGCAACTTACAAACAAATCTAACTTACTTATGTTAGCCAAACATGATTCCTATTAAGCTGAAAGTGTTGACAGTTCATAGCTACAAACCTGCATTAAGAATGCTCCGGTGAACCATATTCAGCAATTTGGCTTCATTGTTACCGAAATCGAAAGAGGCAGTTATATTGTGGGGCGCCCACAGATACGTGTAATGACGTCATCAGATTAAGTTATTTGTAGTGCAGCTCCAGGACAGGACTTCTCTGTTTACAAGCCAGGCTTAGTTACGCAGTATAGTAAGATAATTTTGCGGGCTTATTTTCGCAGATATTGCGTATTGCCCTCAATCCACAAGGAAGAACTACAATAAAGAAAAACACCTATTATAATTTATTGTATAATTTATTGCTTTTCGGAAAAAAAAACGCAAGGGAGTAGTAGATAAGGGTAAGGGCGTGGGGGGTAAAGGGGTCCGCTTTTTGTTTGGAAAGTTTGTTGTAATAGCCCTTTTAGGCAGTGGAGTTCTAAGATCAAATAGTATCACGAGAAAAGGGAGTAGGTTTCTAAAGAATCTGTGGTGCTGCATCGGTGGGAGAGTATAACAAGGTTATCTGGTATTATCAACTGTGTTGATAATGTAATTTGGCCCCCGTTTGGAGTTTGTAAGCTTACGTTTCGAGTGATAGCCCTTCGTCAGAGCAATGGGAGGAATAATGGGTTGTGTGTGGGAGCCACGCTATTTGTGGGAATATGGCGACGAGAAAACAAGAATAAATTAGTTGAATGAAAAGCGCTCGTTGATACCGTAGGGGATTAAGAGTGTCGATTTGAAAGAAAATTTTTTTCTACAGTTTGCGGGTTTCCGAACTGCCTAGATGTAAGGAAAGGCCGCAAACTGCCATATGTTGCTTAGAATGATTAGGGAGATCCTATTAGAGTATCTAGCGACTGGTTTGGATGCGCCCTTGTCATTTCTTTCTACGTGGCGAAAGTTTTCTCGGAATCGGTCATCTAGTCGTCTTCCTGTTTCACCAATGTTTAACTTGTTGCAATAAGTGCAAGTTATGCAGTCGATGACATTGGCGGAGGTGCAGTAAAGTGATCCGTGATCTCAATGGATCTCTTGGCCCGAAATTTTCTCTACGTTATAGATGAAAGGACAGGTTTTGCATCGTTAGCGAACGCATTTGAAAGTTCCAGGTTGGTCATTGGTTTGCAATGAACGTCTGACCAAAAAGTTGCCTATGTTTTCGTCACGTTTGAATTAAATTACTAGAGGTTACGAAAAGATAGCACCAGTCTCTAAATCGTTTTGAAGTAATTTAACGTTCAAGTTAAGAATGATTGATTTAACTGCGTGGTTGTGTGGGTGAAACGAGGGAGTGAATGGAATGCGACTAGTATTTTCCTTCTCAGCTGTTTGTAGTGCCGACTGTCGATCGATTTGTTGGGCGCGTAGGTGGCCCGCTTGAACGACAGAAACAAGATAGCCATTTTTATCGAAAATCTGACACATAGCCCCTGATTGTTCGGAAAAATCAGAGTGGTCACTACAAACTACTACAAACTACAGTTCCTGACATAGATCCCTAGTCTCGTACCCAGATCTTTTAATTACAGTCTCACTGCAGAATCTAGGTGCGAAATTAACAGACCCCTGGACAGAAGGAAACAAAATAAAGACTAACGCTACAAAAATACCAAATCAACTAAATTCATCTCCTACATATAACTCTTACTTTCTTGTTTGAAAATGGTTGTATTTTTTCCTGTGTGTATTTTGACAGTTTTTGCATTTTTGGGAGAGACTGGAATAAAGCAGTCACTCAACAAACTTAGATGGGGTGGGGGTGGATTGGGAGCATAACAGGTTCTGGGAAGCCATCCGAAATACAAATTTGTTTTCAAGAGGTAAGCACCCCTGGAAGTAGATCTGTCAGTACTATCAAATTCGACTAAAAATCCAGGTTCCAGTAAAAAATTCAATGTTCTCAATAACAGGAGCAGTACTACCAGGAACTATTAATAAAGGGGATAAGTTTCTAAAGAAACTGTGGTGCTGCAACGGTGGGTGAGAATAACAGGGTAATTCAGTATTATCAACTGAGTCAATCTCGTAAATTGTCCACTGTAAAGACTTTCAAGCTAATGTTAAAAGCCCCAGGTCCTTTGCTCTAACGAAGGGCTTACAATCCAAACATCAACTTTGAAACTCCCCATGGTGGCCAGTTTACATTTTCAACTCAGTTGATAATATAAAATTAATAGAAACTATGAAATTAGAAGATCCTCGCAGCTAAGAACACTACTGAAACTAGTAGTTGTAAGTAGGACCTGAAAAAAAATTTCAGGCCCGTACGGGATTTGAACCCATGACCTCTGCGATACCGGTGCAGCGCTCTACCAATTGAGCTAACAAGCCAACTGGGAGCTGGTCAATGAATTGGGTATATCTAAATCTTCATTCACTCGGATGTTTATTTGTACCCAATTCATTGACCAGCTCCCAGTTGGCTTGTTAGCTCAATTGGTAGAGCGCTGCACCGGTATCGCAGAGGTCATGGGTTCAAATCCCGTACGGGCCTGAAATTTTTTTTCAGGTCCTACTTACAACTACTAGTTTCAGTAGTGTTCTTAGCTGCGAGGATCTTCTAATTTCATCTTTCTACCGCAGTGCAAATATGTGAATTTTTCATATATCTAAATCTTAATAGAAACTAGTTTGAGATAGATAACAAAAAAAATCAAGATTGCCTTCAAATCTGGTTAAAGTAAATGCACTTTCCCTGAACTGTTATTCCCTACATGTAGTTGGTTAAGAAATGCATAAAAATGGCCCAGTATTTCTCAAGTTACTGTTTGTATCTAAACCAGTCAGTCTGCTTGGGTCACTGATTGTGCCATTCTTCTACCACAGACTGTGATTGGCTTGCTTCTTCTGACATTTACTTTTAGACAGAGCATCTGGGTTATGTTCAAAGGATAACAGTAGCTTTTCAAATCAGACCTTCCCACCTAATAATGCAATTAATATTTTCATACTTTTTACCTACATTATCAAAGTTTTATCTGCTCAGCTTCTCAGGAGCATCCAAATATTCTTAGCTGTATTAGCTCAGATTAATTCAATAAATAAAAAGACACAACAATGGCTTTCACTCCCCCACCCCTCTCCTTATTTTTGACCATTACCACCCCCTTGGTACAAATTTCTTTCTCTCCCCAGCCTT